ACCCTTTAATTGATAATCGTTAAAATAACTTTCCTACCATTTTAATGCGACATAAGTAGGTCTCCTGTTTTCATTGAATGTCACATGACCTGGCTTCCCAAAATAGTATTTTCATCCAGGCTGGACTGTTGTTAAGGCTAATTCACGAATCCTTATCAAACTGCTTTTCCTTTGAAAGGAAAATTCGAATCGCACTAACTTCTTAAGTGTTTATTTGAAACTCAGCTTACTTCCATTAAGATGTCACCATATGTGGAGGATAATTAGGCAATATGTTTTAGGAATCATGGCTATATGAATTTGAATGAAAAGGTAGTTTCCACTCTTGTGATTGTGGGGAAATTCAATTGTCAATCCTTCATTCCTTTAAGCGAATTAGGCTGAACACTGGTAGTCTCGGAAATCTCCTTATAAACAAAAATCAAATGATAGAAGTGGGTTGACCTCGTTGTTGCAACTTGGTCTTGTTTTCAGGCAGACAATGTAGAACGCACATAGTTCGAAGTCGTCTGCCATAGTAGTTGTCATGATTTCCAGCATCCGACCATGGACTTGATACATTCACAAATGTTTCGCCAGAATCGTAGTCGGCATCATAAGTGAGTTTTGCCATTCTCCTCACCAAGATACGAACTCGTCAAAGAGACAAGTGAAGTCAATCCCTCGACAAGGTAAAGCCTAAGGTGCAACAACATCAAATTATCATAGGATTTGTGTTGGTTCGACCTAGCATTCGTACATTGGCCTGAGCGTTAATGGGACATTGTGAAACGTATATAGACCCGTGTTTTCTGCCATAGTATTCGGGGTCTCCAGCTTCGGAACATTGAATCGATATACTCCAAAACGTTTCGCCGGCATTGCTGTCGGTATCGTCAATGAGGGATACCATCGTCAGGACAGAGTTACATCTTATCAGTGACAAGTTAAGGTAATTCCCTTAACCGATTTTCTATTCAACCGTTCTGGCATCACTCCTCGCTCTTATTCTTAATTCTATCTTTTAGTCCAGTATTTCTTTCTCTCAACCAAACTTCATATGAAGATATGAAGACCAAGATGTTGTGGCCTATGGTATGGTCGCAGTCTCCTTTCGATTTATACAAGTGGGTTGACCTCGTTGTCGCAACTTGGTCTTGTGCTCATGGAGACTATGTAGAACGCACCTAGTCCGAAGTCGTCTGTCACTGCAGTTGTCATGATTCTTAGCATCTGACAGTGGACTTGATACATTCTCAACCGTTTCGGCGGCATCGTAGTCGGCATCATCAGTGAGCTTTACCATTCTCCGCACCAAGATACAAAGAGTAGATAGATGGACAATGACAGAAATAGGAGTGATAGTGTAACCGTTTTCGGCAGAACGGTTGTCGAGGGATTGACTTCACTTGTCTCTTTGACGA